ACAAACCTCATCATCCTTGGCCGCAATTTCCCACACCCCTGGGAACTCTGCTGGAGGCTTGAGCACAGGTTATGAGGAGCGTGAGAACCTCACTGGCCATGAAATCCCTTGGATCCACAGCTCAGGGGCATCTGGAGACAAGCTCGTGGTCCGGCTCCCACCTGTGGTCCTGCTCTCCCTTCTGAGTATCCCAGGCACACTGCGAGAGCAGCATCTTCATGTCCAGAAAAGCAGCGGAGGCTGCTGCCGGGAGGTGCTGCAGAGCATCTCCCTGGCAGCTGGGGAGAAGCTGTGCTCACCAGGGCCCAGGGGAGAGCCGTCATCCCCGAACCTTGCGGGTCTGCCGTTATTGCATCTCAGCAGTATGCCTGTGTGTGCAGGAACCTTCCCGCAGGTGAACTCGCCACCCAATGGAGAAAGAGTCAAAGTCAGAAGAACAAGGGTTTTTTTGCTTATTATTAATAGCCAGGCTCCGGCTCCAGCCTGGACTTGATGGTAAATACCCAAGGGAAGTGTAGAAAGTGCTCTCCTCCCTCCTAACAGTGCAAGGCCAGGCTTGAGCACCCAGAAATGGTCCCAAACCACTGTCAGAGGATGCTTTCCCCCCTCGCCCTCCACTCCAGCACGTGGGCCCTAAGACCAGAGCGTGCATGTCTTCCTACCCAGATCGCAGGGATGGTACCTGCTCCCTGGAGAGCTGGCAGGGCTGCCTGGGCATATCCGCAGTCCCAGGGGTGTCCACGCCACGGCTAACTCAGCTCAGCCACCTGCCTGATGCGCAGAGCCGCTCCACAGGCATTCCCAGGAGAACCGAGCAGCCTAACCGCACCCCAGTGCCATGACTTCTCCCTAGTAACATGCGACAGCCCTTCAGTAACTTAACACCCAGCCCTGGAGATGTGGCAAAGGGACCGACCATGGAAATGGCTGCTCTCACCCCAGTGCCTGTTTCCTACAGCTCTGCTCTGGCTCCAACTTGCTTGCCAGAGCCAGCTGTACCACAGACACAACCTGGGCAAGCCAAGATGCCAGGCCCCAAGCATCACCCATGCCCAGGGAGATGGACAGCCCCATGGGGGGAAGGATCAGAAGCACCTGCTGGATTCCAGAAAGATTCAGGTCCCAAACATCTGCCTGCATCATCAGTGGTTTGGTATCACCTGGATCCAGTCTCAGCCTGGAAGAGGAATTTGGGGCGGTGGGATGGGGAGGAGAGGGGGAAGAGACCTTGCAACTGAAATGGAAAAAGGGATGAAAACCAAACCACTGCTACAAATAAAGAACTGGAAAAAAAAGGGCAAAGAAGCCAAGAAGGTCATATAAAAGTATAAGCAAAATAGCTGTGGAGGGGAAGGGGCTGAGGCAGAGCTAAAGGCATCCCATAGGTAGGGTAAGGGGAAGTGAAGACTGGATAAAAGCCCAGGTAACAACTACCTTCTTCCTGGACCCAGGAAGCCAGAGGAACAGCAGCCCTAAACAGCAGGATTTATCTCCTGGACAGCATCCACACTGCTTTCATCCAACCTAACCCTCCTTGCTGCCTCTCCAGTGGCATCCTATGCTCAAGCTGCCTGCCAAAGAGAACAACCCTACAGAGCATCCTCAGGTGGTCTGACAACCAGGTCTTGAAGATAAGCACGAGCACTTGCCACAGCGCTGACGCAACACCAGCTCCAGCACAGTGACCTTCTTGGGTGATGCGAGAGGCCAACCAAGCATGAAGAAGCCTGAAAGTCTCTGGAAATAAACATCAGAAGCGAAGTGTGACGCAGGTACAGAGTAGAAACATGTTTTACTTCCAAGAGGCTTTGGCCACATCTGCTCTTTGGTTTGAAATGGAAACACCAGCAGTTTGCAGAGAGCCCTTCACAGTGCGATGCCCGGGGACATCAGCCCCCCCGGTCAGTCCCTGCCTGCCCAGCCCAGCACCACGCTCCTGACACTCATGTGCCCCCTGTATTTCCATCACCTCTCACCTCACGGTACAAAACATGACTCAAAGGCACAGCAACGGAGATCAACCTGCTCCCCCAGCCTGCCCGTACGCAACACAGCTTGCTTCCAACTAGACAATCGCCCTATAAAAATATACCCGAGGCTCTCAGTAGCCACTTGGCCACCTGCTCCGCACAGGTCCTCCACCCGCCAGCTCTGTCTGAAGCCACCACAGCCTTCTACTGGATTTGGGCTGTGGCAGGCAGCAAACAAGATGAAGAGACTGAGTCACTACAGGCCCACGGCCAGTCCTACTTAATCATGCTCTGATGCTGCACCATGATGTTTTTGAACCTGGAGGCACCTACTCACAGGTACTTGCTGAGGACCTGGACCTGGGCTCATCCCTGCCGAGCTCCCCACAGCATCCCCTCTCCCCCAGGTGCGGGCCCTGAGCACACAGCCCTGATGATGCTCTCTCTGCCCAGGGCACTGCTTGGCTGTTGCCACAGCCTAAACAGAGCCAAGCTCCTCACTGGGACACCAAGGGCTTTCCCAGCTCTCAGCGTGAGGGAAACAGGGGCCACCTCCATCCTCCTCTGCCTGAAGCACCCAAGGCTGTCCAGCCACCCAGGCCCCTAGGGAGGGGAGCGAGCAGGGCACAGCTATTTGAGTGCCACACTAATAATTTCTCCAAACCCCTCCTCTAGCTGGTAGTGTCCCCCTCCCCAAAGAAATACAGCCACAAAAACCCCTGGAGGTGCCAACAGGGTCCATTTCATGCCTTCCTCCTACTAAAGATGAGCCTCTCTGCAAGCTCCCAGCTCTGGGCACTGATCCCAGCTGCCTGTGTCGTGCTCAAGCAGTCAGGGTGACGGCTGGACCTCTGGAAGCTGTGCCAGGCTGCTTCGGGCAAGGGCAGAGCTAACTACAGCCCCATGCAGAAACAGAGCGAGGGTTCAGGTGGGTGCCATGCTTCCCAACTGGCCCCAGTCCCATGCTCGCAGCCTCCATCACCACTAAGCCCTTCTGTAAAGACAGGATTAGCCTTCCTTGGTTTTACTCCTCATTTTTACTCCTACAGTAAGGAATACACTGAACTTACTACATATTAAACAGCAAAAAACAGCTACCTAGAACCAAAGAGCTCTTTAAAAATCCAAGTTATCACTTTTTTTTTTTTAAAAAAAGATCCAGTATGACATCAAGTTAAACTATACAGTATTTTTAATGAATATTAACAAACTGCTTAAAAAAAAGAAAAAAAGAAAAAAAAAAGGAAAAACAAATGCAGACAGAAAACCCAGTAGGAAGTTCTACATCTTTGAGGCAACATGAAGGAAGATAACCATCGGTCCCTCTTCCTTGGGCAGCAGAGAACAAGGTCTGCTTTAACCTCCCTAAAGCTGCATATGAAGACTCAGCCCCAGGGTCAGACCTGTCATCGAGCTGTCCCAGCCCCTGAAAATGCATCCCATTCCCCCTCATGGTGCTGGAAACAAAAGCTTTTCTCCACCTTTCAGGTGAGCATCCCCTACCAGCAAAGCCCAACTCTCTGTAAGGTTAATCTGCCTATACATGGACATTTATTAAACTTGTCCTAACCACCTGCGCAGCACATGGGCAACTTAGTGGCCGCTGTTCACTAATTACAGCTCATCACAACACTCCCACTTCATTTGAAGGCCAGCCAAGATCACCGAGGCTGGCAGGGACCTCTTGAGATCATCTAGTTCAACCCCCTGCTCGCGCAGGGTCAGCTACAGCAGGTTGTCCGCAACCATGTCCAGTCAGGGCTTGAATATCTCCACAGATAGATATTTAACATCTTAATATCTCCAAAGCTGGAGAAGAGAAGGCTGGTGGGCAACCTACTAAGCATACCTTCAACCTCCATGGCATCTAACTGGCATGTAATGGGTCTCTTGGTCATGAGAAGCAAGCAAAATCCTGCAGAGGAAAACACCCAAGGCTGCATCAACCTTGCTAGGGGAAATTTATTTTTAAGTGATGTTTACAAGAACTGTGCAAAACCTGAAAAATACAGAAGAGGTAAAGAAAGAGTAAAGGGGTAAAACAGGACTCCCGCAAGAGGGGAAAAAAAAAAACGCTCCTCCTCTACCCACTGCTAACCTTGCCCTCCCCATGGAGCTGAGCCCACAGCCAGAAGGATTCTCCTGGCTCACTCCGGTTCCCCCCAGCAAATCAGACACCAAGTCCCTGGCGCATGGCGTGGGCTACCACCAGCAATGGTAAAATCTCCGAAGTCTTAGGTTATTAGTAGTGTTCACCTCACCCTTTAGTGTTCCAGCTGCTGGGACGGCCCTTTGCCTGACCCCCCTGGAGGTACGCTAATGGCCCAAGTGCTGCAAAGAGGGAAGGGGCCTGGGGGCTGGAGGTGAGTCTTGGCAGGAAAGCTGGGTCCCTCAGGAAGCAGCTCTTAAAATGCCAGGCTCTCAGCCAGGAGCAGGGCACGGTGGCTCTCCTCACCACGCTCTGTGGCAGCGGTGCAGCGCTTGCTACTCTTCCCTGTGGTGCTGGCAGGGACGGCGGGCGGGCAGGCTCGCTCAGAACCCTTGCAGAGTGTGACAGCCAGCGACTGCAAAAGCAGCAATGCCAAAGTGCTTTTTGGAGCTGTGGAGCCCCATGGCTTTTCCCTTTCTACACTCTAGAAAGAGGGAGAGCAGGGGAGGTCGGGACAGTCACTCAACGCTAATGACCTGAAACAGTCCTCTCAACTGAGCTTGGACCAAGAAAGTTGGGGAGATCCCAGCAGCAGAAACCTGCTACTTCCTCGCCGAGCAGTGCATCCTGGGAGAAGGCGGGGCTGGCTCTGCCTTGCTCCCGAGTCCTCTCCTGGAGGAGAGCTACCCAGCCCTTCCCACCAGGCAAGGCAGGGGAAAGAGGCCACACACGAAGGGGCTGGTGCCCGCAGTGGGCAGCTGAGCTCTCAGCGCTGGAACTGCAGGTACAACATGAGCTACAGTCCAGGGGACGCCAGGCAGCTAACTGGCATCATTTCCTTCTCCCCACCTCCCTCCTTTCCTCTCCACCCTTCGAGCTTTTCACGTTGTCCGTCGCCCCTGCCATACAGGCAGTGTATCAAGCACAGAGGCCAGAGGAAAGTTTACCTGCCCACCCATCATACCTCCCCTTTCCCCCAAGCTCCCTGGACGCCATCTACAACTGAGGAGAGGGAAGGGGAGGCCGAGGCTCAGGAGCGTCACATGCAAGCTGAAAGCCGCCAAGAGGCAGGAGGCTCACGGCAAGCAGGCAGCCACCTGGTAGGCGCCCTCGGCCGTGTGCTGGACACTGTGCTCCTGCAGCAGGCCCAAGTCCAGAAACCGTTCCCCGCACCACATGCACTTGTACTGCTGCTCCCGGGCGTGCACACTGTGGTGCTTGTTGAGGTGCTCGCGCTGCTTGAAGGCCTTCTCACAGGAGGGGCACTTGTAGGGCTTCTCACCCGTGTGCACGCGCCGGTGGCGCTGCAGGTCCGAGGCATACTTGAACCGCTTTTCACAGTCGGGGCACTTGAGGGGCTTCTCGCGGGCCGGGTCGCAGCGGTGCTGCACGAACTCGGAGGAGGAGAAGAAACGTCTCTCACAGAGCGTGCACTTGAGCGGCTTCTCGGTGCAGTGGGCCAGCTGGTGCTTCTGCAGAGCGGAGGCCCGCTTGTAGGACTTGTTGCACACCGCGCACTTGAAGGGCCGCTCCGCGTTCTGCACGCACTTGTGCCGCAGCAGCTCTGAGGACTGGTTGAAGCCTTTCTGGCACACGTTGCACTTGAAGAGGTTTTCTATGCCGTGCACGTGCTGGTGGTACACCAAGTGCGAGGGCTGCACAAAGCCCTTCTCGCACAGGTTGCACTTGAAGGGCTCCTCAGCCTTGTGCGTGCGGCGATGGCGCATGAGCGCGTACTGCTGCTTGAAGCTCATCTGGCAGAGGTCACACTTGAAGGGCCGCTCCTCGCTGTGTGTGCGCTCATGCTGCCGCAGGTCTGAGGGACGCTTGAAGGCCTTCTGGCATTCGCCACAGCGGAAGGGCCGCTCCCCGCTGGGCGTGCAGGGGTGCTGCAGCAACTCCGACGACTCCTTGAAGTGCAGCTCGCAGACGTTGCACTTGAAGAGGTGCTCCCCTGAGTGTGCGTACATGTGGCGCACCAGGTGGGAGCGGTGCTTGAAGGTCTTCTCGCACACCGTGCACTTGTAGGGCCGCTCCGAGCTGTGCGTCCGTTTGTGGTGCACCAGGTGGGATGACTGGCTGAAGCTCTTGTCACACAGCGTGCACTTGTATGGCTTCTCACCCGTGTGGATGCGCTCATGCCGGGACAGCTCTGAGAGGTGCTTGAAGGTTTTCTGACAGATGGAGCAGCTGTAGGGCTTCTCTGAGGGGTCGAGAGGCTGCGAATGCTCTGCCTCGGGAGGCTTGTAGGTCTTCTCACAGATAGAGCACTTCATGGCATTGCCATTGTGGACATTGTGGTGCTGTGCCAGCGAGGTCAGGAGGGAGAAGCCCATCTTGCAGACGCCACATACAAAGGGCTTCTGCTCCACCTGGATGCACTGGTGTTCGAGGAGGTCGGTGGCCTGGTGGAAGATCTTCAGGCACTGGGTACACTGGAAAGAGCGGTCATGGCCTGGCAAGCACTGGTGCTCATGGGGGTTGGAGAGGTGAGCGAGGTCGTGGCCACACACACCACATTTGTGGGACGGCTCTCCAGCCTGGATGGGGGCGTGCTGGTGGTGCTGCAGACCAGGGTCCGGCTGGAGCAGGATGCCGTAGACGGCACAGCCCAAGGGGTTGTCAGCAGTGCTAGGTGGGATGGAGTGCTCTGGGAGGGCGGCTGCCCCAGCGTGGTGCTGCTGCGGTGGTGGCGGCTGCTGTGGTTGCTGCTGTTGCTGCTGCCAGCTTTCTGACATGCTTGGGAAAAAAACCCAGGATTTTAGCAGTGACAGCTTCAGCTTCTCAGTTGAAAAGGTTCAAGTAAAAACAAAAATCGAAAGAATCCAAGATCCTGATCCCCTGAAGTCGAGGACATAAAATCCTGCCCGCAGCCAGGATCTCGGGAAGCAAAGAGACTCCACAGCCTCCTCCTTAGGTCAGCACAAGTTCTTTGTGGAGTGATTTGGTTTGGCTTTTTTCTTTTTTGGACAAAAGAACAGGAGGCAGAAGCAATTGCCTTGAAGACAAGAGGAGGCCCTTCTCCGTGCTGGCTGCAATGTGCTCACATTTGGGAAGGGCAAGGGAGGCAGCCCAGGGAGCAGCTCTCTCTGCAAGGAAGAAGACAGCTCATGTCAGGTCTCAGAGGAAAGATGGGCAACTCTCTAAGTCAACCTCCCCTCACAGCTCACTTCGAAAACTCTCCTGCATCCCTGCAAAACTACCAGGAACCCAGTGTGGGAGCGCTAACCAGAATGCGAGCCCCCTTTGCTGCTGTGTGAAGGGCCTGGGACAAGGCGTGCTCAGCCCAGAAAGGGTTGGGCAGCCAGGCACGCATTTCGTGCTCTCACGAGAAGCAGCACAACTGCCCAGGTCCCAGTCAGCTCAGCCGCTACCTGAACACTGTCAGTTGCTGGATATTGCAGCCCTGCTGGGGGCACGGGCTGAGAACAAGAGTCTCTGCACGGGCTGAAGTACACCAAGTGCTGTGCAATCAAGAAGCTAATGGGTTAGATTTTACAGATATCACGGCAAATCCCAACCTGATCCCATCCCAGCTGAAACCCCCCTGGTGAAGCAGTTCTACTCCTTCTGCAGCTCAGGTATCGGGCACATACCCCCAAAGGGATGCATGTAAGAGATTTCCCTCTCTCCAGGCAGCACCTGTAGACTAGGAAGAGCCAGAGAGCTCAGGGGAAGGTTTGCCCATAACATTATCCTATCCGTAGACAAAACACAGAACCCACAGGTATCGCGCACAGCACTCTCTGTGAAGATAAAGGAAGTGTTAAAGCAATGGCTCAGCTGAACCTCCTACCAAACCACTGAATAAAAGCACATCAGAGCCAAAAAACCTACACCAGAGGTGCTGCCTGGCCTTACTATAGAGCATCACAGAGGTTTTGCTCACCAAAAAGTTCCAGCCTTTCCAGAGATGTCCAGTAAAACCTGGCATGAACTCAGAGAAGAGTAGAAACCACCAGCAAGCAGCAGATAGCAGCCGTACTGACACACCTCAAGAGAGAGGAAGGGTTCAGGC